CCTTTTTCTTTATGTACCCCCCCCCCCCACACACACACACACACACATCCTTTACTTCACATTACAACAACTTTTGACTTAAAATAACAATAAGGAAGAAACTCCAAAGCCACACTGTTTTTGAACCAGCTCTTCTCTCTCTCTCTCTCTCTCTCACTCTCACTCACTATCACTCACTCCCTCACACACACACTTTCAGCTATACCTCTTGGAGGAAAGCATCTGTGCTCCAGGTGGATGTTCTGGTGTTTTCCCCATCTGATTTCTGTCAAAGGAAGCATCAGAAGATTGATGCTTTAGAGTTCAGAAGGCCTCTAGTCAGAAAAATAACCAGGATGAATTCCATCTCTGTATTTCTGAGCTGCACATACTTTTCATTTTACAGCTTTTCTTTGGCGGTAGTCTTTAAACGTCCCCTTCTAAACGCTAAAGTGTACAAAGTGGTTTCTTATTGCATAAATGAAAACTAAAGTTCCTAATCTGAAGTATTTGTGTCCTAAAAGTTCTAAATGACTAAAGATTGCTTTAATGTCATGAATTGACTTGATAATTACTTTTTTCTTTTTTGGTTGATCATTGAAATCGTAACATTTTCTTAGTGGTTACTTTCAATAAATCGTCAAATAAGGTATTCAATAAGATATGATATTCCACTGTAACGGAATAAAATGACTGTTTTCCACCTAAAAGTCATCCCCCCCCTCCCCTCCCCTCCTCTGTAAGAACTAATCTGCATGAGATGTTGCTCAAGGTCTCGTGCATCTGCTTCTAAACTGTTTTCCTTTCCAGCTCAAGAGAAGAATGAAGAAAAAGGACTCTTTCTTTTTAATAAATCAAAGAACTCTATTTTTAATAAAGCTAATCAAAGTGTTAGTCAATAATAAAATGTGAACCAATCTGTGAAATGACAATGTTATGATTAGTAAGTTATAATAAGTAATATGACTTTAGCTGCACTAGACATCTGGATAGACCTAATGTAAACGCATGACACATTGCTTTTACTCATCCAATCGGAACCTTCCTTTCTGAAGCGTGGCATAGTCTCTGTGGTCTTTATAAATCTGTCCAACTTTGATTCGACCGTAAATCAAAACATCCAGATTAATAAAACCAGTCCCCACACCATCTTAGGTCAGTTCACCGCATTCTAAGAGAAGTATCGGACCGGCCACCCGGACTTCCTTTTTAAGCAAAGAACCAACAAGCTGGATAAAATCTGTTGCATTTTACCAACCAAGCAACGGTTCCTTTCAGAATAAAAGCTGAACTCACTGACCTAAGGGGGGTCCATCTGTCCTGTCGCTTTTTTACCTGGAGACAATCCAAAAACTAGTCTGTCGTACTGTTTCATCGGCTCCGGTACCGAAGGGGGGTCCGAGGACCTGGCAGTCTGGATCTGTACGGAGGTCTCATTCTAAGGGTATGTGTGGAATGACAAAATGGCGTCTCGTGTTTATGAAACTCCGGTCATAGCTTAAGAGCAAAACATCACAACATCATTCCGACTTGCTTCTCCGGATACGAGAGCTCTGATGACAACATCACTCACACATACACCGTTAATCTCACGTCTCAGTCACACCAAGATCCATTCATTCACTTAGAATTTAGAGCTAGTCTTGTAAAAATTGTTTAGAAATAAATCTTCTTAAACGTTTTAAAGGTGACTCTTCTCTTGTCTCTGAGTTAATACGAAGTGTTACATAATCCCTGCAATAAAAAGTTCCAATCTTCTGGTTAAAAGTACCCAAAGATCCATAAGATTGATTTCATATTTACTATGGAATCTTATGGTTCATTAAATGGATTTAAATTAAATTCTTACACCATAAAATATGGATTATCAATGTTATTGAACCTTTAATATTCGTTTGATGTAAATAAGTACTTTGGGCACACCAGGGCACCAAAACTATAAATATAGTTTATGAAAATGTATTATTACTACTAAGGATTATACAGGATGAGTGATTATAAATCATTTATTTTGCCTTCAGATTATTCTAACCCTTACATATGTCATGTTGCCTAGCAACCATGATGGTGCTAAACAGAACTCAGGGCCGTTTCAGGGCATTTGGGGGCGCAAGGCAAGATGGATTTAGAGGCCTCCCCTCGCTGTCAAGATAAACCTTGAAACCGACCCCCCCTCCCCCCCACACACACACAAGAGAGCCACAGCATGGACACACTGTTTATGATTGCACTAACCTTTTATGAAACTAATACCTTTGGCACAATGCAAAACTGTTTACGTATCTCACACATATCTAATACTGCATGTATGATCATATTTACAGATGCAAAAACAACCTCCACCGTCCCATATAGCAACAAACATACATACGCGCAAACTGCATAGTAACTAAAACAGTTATTAAATATCAAATCAATGTATGAGATTTGCGCTGGTCTTTTTGTCACCGTTTGACTGTGCACGCCATCAGTTAAACGTCTTGGCCACTGTGCATGATCATCAGTCATCAATATTAAGCTTGTGGTACCATGACTCCAATTGTGTTAATGTTGAGGTCATGGTACCGCTGGAGGTAGTTTCTTCCAAGTTTTCTTCATCCTCGTCTTCCACATAAATGAGAGCAGTACAGCTGGGAAAACAAGAATCTTTGTATTATTATAACACATTGTTCATGAGCAGAGTGCAACAATTAACAAAATAACATCTCCCACAGTGTTGGTCATGTTACTTCAAAACTGTAATGCATTATTTATTACTTGTTACCCTCATTTTAAAGTTATTCATTACATTACAATATTACTGATTTTAAAATGTAAGGCATTACACTACTTTTGCATTGCTTTAAGTTACTTTCACCAAAACAACTTCAGTATGAATCTGGTCATGTGACGCTCAGTGAGCTCATGACATATGTGGAAAGTGATGTGGTGTCTGAGCTAGGATTGCTGCTAAAAACAGTCAGATATAATAACAGTGCTTTAAAATGATTGTTTATTAAATAAAAGCAACAACAATCTGTACTCTCAGCACGCTGCCATCTTATATTAACTGAGCAGGGAGTGAGGTGGTGGGGGCTCCAAGCCTATATTTGCCTTGGTCCCCAAATGCCTTGATACGGCCCTGGATGTGGGACTGACTTCTGGGGTGATCTGATTCTGTCACATGTATAAATATGAAATGCTTATGTATATTATTGCTTTTCACTGGTAAAAATGTGTATTGGGGATAAATCTGCCTACTTTTTTCTTTTCAAGCACTTTGTTTTGTTTTCTTGATTTTATTTGAATAATTTCCTGCCCTTTCTCTCTCTAACCTCCTTGCATGCTGCATGTTTTCTCCGTCTTCCAGAAAAACTGTAAACTAGATTTCCTACTTTCTAACTAATCAGCCAAAGGGATCTACCGAACACACACCAAAAAAAAAGCTTAATATGCGCTGCGCTCCAGCAGCAATGAGTTGAAATCACCGGGGCACAGATTATGAACTCAGCAGAAAAGTACATGAAGTACCAGAGAATATGGGCTGATATAAACGATTGCAAATGAATTACTTTGTTTTGGTGGAGCGATTTTGTGAATATAACAGCGGCCGCGCGCAGGACGCAGCTGGAGTATTTGAGCCGTCACCACTGCGTCCTCTCTGCTCATAGAATGCCCGCAAAGCTGAGTCCATAAATGACGTCATATATGTGGATACTGGATCTTTTTTCAGGCTTCCCGCAATTAGAATTTTTAGGAAACCCACATCTTGATTCTGGGTTTAAAAATGTATTGTAATTACGCGTTACTGACAATTGTACCGAGTAAATATTACCATTTTCTTTCCCTGGAATGCCTTACATTACCAAATTACTGCAAAAAGCAATGCATTACAGTAATTAATTACTTTTGTACCACGTTACTCCCAACATGCATGAAGTTGTTGTGGGGCTGGAGAGCTCCTTCAGTGGCGGACTGCTGCATCCTATCATAGGCCTCTCCTTCCAGCAGCTGCTTGACTACAACCATTACTGCTCCCAACAAAACCAGTAAACTATTCCTGCTGCTTTTGGGATTTTCACAGTTTCTGTTATTCTTCTTGCACGCATTCATTTCATTTGCATTATTCGTAGCTCATTTGGAATTCCTACTGATGTCATGTTCCAGTCATGTTCCAGTCCCAAGTCTCCCACATAGTTCCACGTCCCAAGTGTTCCAGTCCCAAGTCTCCCCGCAAGTGTTCCACGTCCCAAGTGTTCCACGTCCCAAGTGTTCCAGTCCCCTCAAGTGTTCCAGTCCCCTCAAGTGTTCCAGTCTCAGTCCCTGTCTCCAGAGTTCCGTTCTCAGTCCCTGTCTCCAGAGACCCTTCCTCGTCCGCTGAAGTCCCTTCCTCATCATCCTCCTCCAAAGCCCCCAATCCCCAGGGTTTCCTGTTCCCGCCTCCTGGTTCCCCGTTGACGGCCCCCAAGACTTCCCTGGTCCCGCCTCCTGGTTCCCCGTCGCCGGCCCCCCAGAATCCCCTGGTCCCGCCTCCTGGTTCCCCGTCGCCGGCCCCCCAGAGTCCCCTGGTCCCTGGTCCGTCCTCGCCCGCCCTTGTGGGTTGTTTTTTGTTTGGTCCCTCCTCTCCCGCCCTGTGGTCTCTCGTGTCCTGTTTTGTCTTTGTCTTTTGTTTGTGGTTTTGTCTTGTTCTGGTTTTGTGTGTCTGGTATCGGCCCTTTTTTTTTGGGGGGGGGGGGGGGGGGGGGGCTACTGACATGTTCTTTGTCCCTTTGTTCCCCAGCCCCTCCAGTTCCCACTCCAGGTTCTCCTTTTGTGTTTCATAGCGCCCTCATGTGTCCTTTGTCTGCATCTCATTTATGTGTCTCTTTCTGTTCCTCATTTGTCCCCTGGTCTTCAGCCTTCAAAATATATCTCTCAGGTCCTGTGTTCCTGTAGTCTTCTCCAGTCACCCCTCTGCAGCCAGTCATCCCTCTGCAGTGTTTATAGTTTCAGCTTTTCATTTTATTAGTCTCTTTTATATGTTTTGTCCCACCAGTCTTTGT